TTGGTGTGTCTGCTTTTAACTGCACAGATGCTCTGCCTCTCTCTGGATGGAGTGGATGGAAACACAGGGAAACTTCTCCAGTGTGCCATCGTATCCTTTGCTCATACGTTTTGTGGAATTCATTGGCTTCCACATGCCCATAAATCAATAAAAGGAACCTCAGGTACAGCTGTAGTCTTGATCTAAGAAAGTGCCACAAATGACAGGGAATTGTGGTGGCACAGTGTCCTCAGACCTTCAGTGTGTGCAGAGGAAGCTCATGTTATATCCACCTTTTTCTCAAACACTGTTATTGTTTCATGCAGATATTTGATTGCTGTGCTTCAGAAATGTGGTGTATTGGCCCTGAGAAATAGCTATCATTGTCTGTAATATGGAGTTCTGAGATGGTCATTTTCCCTACATAAATTAACTCCTTTTGTTCCATCAGACATCTCTTTATTTAAAAAAAAAGACATTTTACTCTGCATAAACATGAAAAGTTGAATATAATGTATTTTTATTGTTTCAGCAGCAGGAATTTATCAAGAGTAATTTTAGCATGCAAATTAGCAGAAGTAGATACCATTTGTCAAGTTGGATTGAGAAGTTTACTAATTAACTAAATGTTCAGAAAAGTAAATATCTTATTGATATGACATTTAATTCAACCACACACAAACTACATTAATAGAACAGTGAGATTGCAAAGTCAAGCACTCAAAGGTTAAGAAATGCCAGAATTAAATTAAATTAATGGAAATACCCTATATCCTAGAACTGGAAGGTCATCGAGTCCAGCCCCCTGCCTTCACTAGCAGGACCAAGTACTGATTTTGCCCCAGATCCCTAGGTGGCCCCCTCAAGGATTGAGCTCTCAACCCTGGGTTTACCAGGCCAATGCTCAAACCACTGAGCTATCCCTCCCCACAAATGAAGGTTGTCTTAATTTGGTAGCCATGTGCTCAGGCTTTGTGATCAAGTAATTAAAGCCTAGATAGCACAGGAACTCTTAATTCTGGCATTTCCTAACTCTTGGGTGTTTGATTTTGCAACCTCAGTGTTCTTTTAATGTAGATTTTTGTGTAATTTTCTTGGTTTTAAAAAAGCGAACTGGAAAACCAGAAATTCCATCTAAGGCCTTGGCTACACTGGCGCTGTACAGCGCTGCAACTTGCTGTGCTCAGGGGTGTGAAAACGCCCCCATCCCCCAAGCGCAGCGAGTGCAGCGCTGTAAAGCGCCAATGTAATCAGAGCCTGCAGCGCTGCATATGCACAGTTTTGGTCACTTGTAGGAGCAGTGAGGGAATGGAGCATGTTCAGAGCACATGGATCTTTGGAGATTTTAGTTGCTAAACTCTAAAGTTTCTGCTACTTAAGATTTATCAAAGGTTGTAACTTGGCCAAATGTGGACAGATTTTCACTGGAACAGCAAAAGGCACATCTATGGCACTAAAGCCCACTCTTTGCCAAATTTCAAGTATTCCTAAGAATATTTTTTAACTGGGCAAAATGCATTTCACTAATCTCATTCTCAGAAACAGACGGATGTTTTGGCTGAATCGTTTCACTCCGAACCGAACCAAATCAAAACAAAACAAAAAAACCCATACCTCAGCCTGGAATGGAAAATTTCAGTCCAGATATTTTGGCAAAGATGATGAGCAACTGAAAACAGGGCTGTATAATGGGATGTTATTGGGCAACCTGAGGTGGTGGTACTAGCTCCACCTATGATAAACACTGGCCATTAAACACATGATATTTTGTATAGCAGTTATATATTAGGTTAAAGTTGCAACTCTCTGTACATGTAGAAATGGTACAAAAGGGAATGTTGCACCAGGCCTGGGCTTGGAACTGGCATAGGACTACTGCTGAGCTGCCTGGTCAGTTTTTAAGATGCTTCAGTAAAATGACAGGAGCAGTAGCAGGATGTACATAGCTTCTTTTCCAACCTGGCTCCTCACTATACGTGTCTAGGTTTTTGGGGTCTTGCTGTCTTTCCTTCTTCCTCCCAGCTCAGGGCTGGTTGGAGATATGCAGGAAGTGCACTGTAGAGTTTTGCATGTCTAGTTGCGTGGTAGCCAGCTGACTCTCTAGGTCCCTCTCTCCAGGGCTCCAGAAAGAAAAGCCCTCCCATCAGCCTCTCAGGAAGCCCAGATGAGCTCACACCAGCTGGAGGAGGTGGGGGAGAGAATCTTGGGCTCCGTCCTCCTCTCCCTAGCCTAAAGGTGGGGGGAGATAAAATTCCATGTGGAGAATGAGAGGGACTTTGTAAAAGAGACCAGATGCTCATGAGGAAAGAAGAAACAGTGAGAGTGGTTCTGTGCACTGTTTTCGACAGAGACTATGTGGAAGCTATACCTCTGAATGCCTACTGTTGTCATTACCTCCCAGCTGTCCCTGTTTCACATAGCCACTTGTCAGTGTGCTGCCCCTACCTCAGCCACCTTTCCTGGGAAGTTTCCCTTTAGAACTTTGTTACACTGTTAGATCACAGAGAGGCTGGACTGTGGAGCTCAATAGAACCAGGACTTGCACCATAGTGACTGCTTATGAAGTGTAAATGAGGGAAAATGGAAGATTGTTGACTGCTTCTGTGCACTTCAGAGGAAGAATTGTCTCCATCTCACTTCTCATTAGTAGTACTCAGCCAGTCATAGTCAACATCATTTTACTTTGCAACCAACCAATATATATGATGTAATGTATTAATCATATAACTGATCCAGCAGTACAATGAAATTCGAATTGTCAGTCCTTATCTTCTAGGTGTTTAGGCCAGGATGTTTAAAAAAAGACCTAAAGCTCCAACAGTAGGACCATTGCTGACAACTCCATTCCTCAGGGATTGGAACTTTATACCATGAGGTAAAGCATGAGGTAAAGCATGTCTGCACAGGAGACAGTTTTCTTGGGAACTAGTCTGGGACTCTGGAATAAACTAATATTTAAAACTCAGGACTATCACAGCTAGAAGTATCCGTCAACCTGAAACTGTTTGCAAATTTATGTCAAGTTTGCCAAATAGTTTCAATCAATCAAACAAACAAACCCCCCCAAAAAAATCAAAATGTTTTGGAAATGTCTAAACCAAACATTTCACTTTGACACCACTCAAAACTTGGATTTCAGGCATTTTAACAAAAGCAAAGGAGAACTAGATTCACAAAATGGCTGGAAGAAGTGTCCTACTTATACCTTTTAGCCCAGTGGTTAGGGCACTCACCTGGAGTGTGGGAGACCCAGATTCAATTCCCCTCTTTGTGGAGAAGGAATTTGAGCATGGGTCTCCCATGTTGCAGGAGAGTGCCCTGTCTCCTGGGCTGTGATGGGATATTCTGCAATGGAGTTTTCTCCATTTTGCCTGGTGAAGCAATTACTTTGTATAAATAAGTAATCATTGGAGCAAATTTTGATCTTGGGTCTCCTACATTCTTGGTGAGTTCACTGTTCATCACTGGATCAAGGAAAGAGTAAAAATGACTCTGCAGCCTGGTGGTTAGGGCACTCAACAAGTATATAGAGACCCAAGTTCAAGTCTCTGCATTAATGACTATTTATTTATACAAAGTGGAATGACTTCAACGGGCAAAATGGAGAAAGCCCCATTACAGAATATCCCATGACAGCCCAGGAGCTAGGGCACTCTCCTTCAATGTGGGAGACGGAAGTTCGGATCCCTTTTCTACATCAGCCAGAAGGGGGAATTGAATCTGGGTTTCCCACATCCCCTCTGAGTGCCCTAGTCTCCCAGTTAAGTTATAAGGAGAGCATCACATACCTTTTTCCTCTTCTAGCTGTTTTGTGAATCCAGTTCTCCTTTGCTTTTGTTAAAATGCCCACAATCAAAATGAAAAATTGAGTTAGGTCAAAATGAAACTTCGTTTCAACCCGACCCAAATAATTCTGACTTTCTGATTCACCAAAAATTTTTGCTTTTGGTTCAGAAACTTTTTCTGGAATTGCCAGAGAACCAAAATATTAATTTATTCACCCAGCTCTAATCACTTTTGTTCTAACTGATATGCACACTTTGACTTGCCTTCTCCAATAGACATGACATAAAGGAAAAACAAAATGAAATGTAAGAGACAACAAAAGGCATACCAAATTGCTACACTGAACAGATAATTCTCCCTGTAGGGAGATGAGAGAGAGAACAATCTGCACGTGACAGATGTTAATGTTATCACTTAATACACTATTGGGAGGCATTCAGCTGTCAAGGTGATGTGTGGTATAAGAACCTGTATATGATTGATATAAAATTTTACATGAAGTGTGAAAATGGGTCCTGACAACTGGTGGTTACATCCCTCAGGACACTTTTCATGAAAACAGGATTATCAGTAATAGTCAAACACCAGTCCTAGTGAATTTCATTCTGTCCACTTAATTCCCCTTTCCATTTCAGATGGATACAGTATCCTTTAGTATGTGTTCAAAACTGTTGTGTAGTTTATGCTGTTCCTTTTCAAACAGCAGCTGTCTTCTACCTGGCCTTTAATGTTAGGTGAAGTAATGCTTGTATGGAAACGCTCCAGTCCTGGGAACACATACACATGTGAATATCTTTACACATGTGCATAGCCTCATTAAACTCTGTGACTACATTCATATGTAAATATTTGTAGGATTAGTGGAATAGCTTGAGAAATGTCTTGCAGTCCTTCAGAATGAAAGGAAAAATGTAAGAACTGTGAACGGCAAGTTTCAGAAAACTGCCAATTTGCAATCTTTTACATTAAGTGCAAAATCTCTACCGCTTCATCTGGAAATATTATGAACTTTAATTTTTTAACAAAACAGTCTTCTAATTTTTATAAACAATGGTGCGTGAAGACTACTAAACCGTTAATTGTGTGGCTGCTACTTTAAATAATGCTTGAGTTGGGAAAAAGTGTGCTATATAAACGTAGAGAAAAATGTCAGGGTCAGGAAGTTATAAAAACTTACTGTTTTTCTTGTTTAGTAACTCAATTCTTTTTTTCTTTTTTTCCAATTTTTTTACTAGATTTCTTTGCTGGCTATTTCCTCAACCTTGGTCTTCTGATACAATATCCTTTGAAATTATAATGGGTTTTAAATGGGAGCATGAAGAAAACTGGCCTTGTAACAGAATTTGTATGTGAGAAGTGGTACAGATTACTATAAATAACCATGACAACTTCTCATATGAATGGACATGTTACAGAAGATTCTGACAATGAAACAAAAAATGTGGAGCTTGCATCTCCTGAGGAACCTCAGAAGCACAGAGAGATGGCTGTTGATTGCCCTGGGGATTTGGGCTCCAGGATGATGCCAGTACGACGAAGTGCTCAACTTGAGCGGATTCGCCAGCAACAGGAGGACATGAGGCGCAGGCGAGAAGAAGAAGGAAAGAAACAAGAATTAGACCTTACTGCTTCAATGAGGCTTAAGAAACTAGCGCAGATTCCTCCCAAAACTGGAATAGATAATCCTATGTTTGACACAGAAGAAGGAGTCATTCTGGAGAGTCCTCATTACGCTGTAAAAATACTAGGTAGGTAAAAAGTACAAACTCAAGGAAAAATACTTGGGTTTATATGCAAATATTGTTTTAGGCCAGAAAACATCGGTTGGTTAGGCTTATGAGAGAGTTGAAACAATGAGACACAACTTTCAACTTCTGTTGATGGAAAGAAACACTTAAATTCCAGCCTGCAGTTTCTGGTAAAAGTTGAAGATAGTACAGATCCAACAAAATTCTGTTAGTGATGGAAATTTGATCAATAGTATAAATTACACATTTTAATTTTAATTTTTTTTGTCCTCCTCATTTAGGACCTGCTGGAAAATATTTTGAGTTTGTCCATGTCTGACTACCTTCAAATGTATACAGTAGCTCCTCACTTAATGTAGTAATGTTCCTGAAAAATGCGACTTTAAGCGAAACGATGTTAAGCGAATCCAATTTCCCCATAAGAATTAATGTAAATGAGGGGGTTAGGTTCCAGGGAAAGCTTTTTTTCACTAGATGAGACTACACACACACTATAAGTTTTAAACAAACAATTTAATATTGGTACACGATGATGATTGTGAAGCTTAGTTGAGGTGGAGGAGTCAGAGGGTGGGATATTTCCCTTACTGCTAAATGAAGAACTAGCAATTGGCTGAGCCCTCAAGGGTTAACTCTCACACTCTACAAGGCAGCATCGCAGACAGAGAGACACTGTGTGTGAGAGAGAGAGATGCGCATTTCCCCTTTAAGTGCTGAACCTACTCTTTAGTACACTGCCTTGTTAATTAGATAAGCTTGCTGTGACCCCAGCTGCTGCCAGCAAGCTCCTTCTGTGCTGAGCCCTGTCGTGTGTCCCCCCTGCTCTATGGAAGATGGGGTAAGCGGGGTGCAGGAGCAGGGGAGGGGAGGGACACCCTGACATAAGCCCCCTCTTCCTCCCCTCCCCCGCACAGCAAGCAGGAGTTTTGGGGAGCAGCTCCAAGGCAGAGGGCAGGAGCAGCATATGGCAGTGGGGGGAGGGATAGCTGAACTGCCGGCAATTGATAGCCTGCTGGGCAGCTGCTCACAGGGACTTAGGGAGT